TTTTTTTCTTTTTCATTTTCACGTCAATGCCTACAAAGTTTTATGAGCAGGTGATAACAGGGGATTTTAATGAAAGCTGGCTGGGAATTAGTACTACTAGTCTGCTACTATTTCCTTGGGCAGGCACACTAGAGTTAAAACAGGATTAGATTAGAGGTAACTACATCTTTAGGCGCGGTTACATGTTTATTACATCTTACAAGGAAAGGGGCAAAACAGAACATTAAACAGCTATTCAAAATTTCACTTTCAACTGTTACTTCTGAAATCTCGATGGTCCACTAAAAATTCTACTGGATGGGACACTTGAAAATTTCAAAATACTACTATGGACAAAATTGTTGAATAATTGTATTGTTTTTTTCTCTTTTTTGTTAATATATCAAATTTTCATATGCACGAATATAAATATGTAATATATAATAGCTAGTCCATATTAGTAGAGATGGGGAAAGAGATTTGGGATGTAAGCATCATTGTCATGTAAATTAGAGTATTGCCTGTCAGGATATAACATAAAGAGGTTCCATTGCATTTGAGTAAAGACAGAGCTGTGATAATGGTTTAACTTTCTTTTCCCAATTAAGCATTGTTCTTGCCTCCAACTAATGCAGATGGTGATGTAATTTGAAGGAGGAGGATAGGAATCCATGAATTACCAAGTGGCTTTTTCACTTGGTGCTAACATGTTCATTGCCCTAATATTTTATGGGGAATGCATTTTTTGTCAATTCTCTTGAACAGAGAGTTATTTTTATGAATTAAAATGGAGTGTTACTTGCATGATTGTCCATTTCACATTAAATTATTGCTTGAACAGTGTGATTCATATTTTAATGCATGATACACAGCAAAATGCAAAAATGAAGGTAATTCTAAGCAAAGCAAACAAATAACCCAAGGTCAAAATGCTGAAGAGTCAAAGTTCAATCTGTATTTTGCATTGCTGGACTCCTTTTGAGTCAAATTCAAAGTTGCTGTACTAAGTAGACTCCAAAATTAAGATCCTTTTTTTTAAAAAAATTAAATTCTTATATTCTTAATTGGGACCCTTTTTATTGCGTTGGCTGACTTGTAATTGCCTGAGGCAGCCTTAGTTCCTGCAGCATTAAACCTGAATAACTTGGGAAGAAGCACCAAATACATTGAAGTAGTTTTAAATGATGGCAAATCAAATACCCAATAGAGGCAAGAAAAACAGAGCACTTTATGAGCCCTTTGTCATTTTCTTTATATATCCAGCCAGCAGTGGTTGTATTCTCTGCAAAAAGTAATACCGGACTCTCTGGATAAGAATTTTCATTTCTCAGTTTCGTACTGTGGCAAATTTGCAATTTTTTTTTTCTTTTTTACACCATATCTGAAACTGGAAAGTGACTTTGAGAGTTTTGGGCCTCCTTGCTTGGTCTATGGCAATAAATAAACAAAGTATACAAGTCCAATTAAGTTGAAAAAAGGGGTAAAACTAATCAAGTTGAAAACCCCAATCCAATAATTGATGAAATAATGTTGCAAGTGAAACTTAGCATGTTTCTGGTATTCAGGGACCTACCTAGGACAATAATTTTTTTTTCATCCTCAAGGAAACAAAAGAAAGAGCTCTCTTCCTCTTGTCTTGAAGGAAAACAAATGAAAGATTTGTTGTGATGATTCTGCTATTGAGAGAGAGAGAGAGTCAAGTAATCCATTATTGCGACAAGAGAAAAATAGGGGAAGTCCTTCGATTGTTCCAACTTTAGGCTGTGAAATTTGGGAACCCTTTGAGATGATGTTTGGGCATTACTTTTTGTTTGTCTCCTACTCTTGTGACTATGAAACATCGTGCATGTATCTTGTTCCACTACCATTGAATCCATCCACCTAGATTTTCACCTTGATTTTATGTCTCGATTTGCCTCTAATTAAAAATCTTTTGACATTTTACTTCACGGACGGGCAGAACAGTCCATGAAGTTGAGGAGACCAAGAGATTTTTAGTTCTTATTTTTATGATGTACAATTAAATTCCTAAGCAAATATGCTTACACGGGTTTTGAAAATGATTTGAAAATCTATAAAAAAAATTTTTGTGAAAAAACCAATGTTAATGTTGAAAGAAAGTACTTGTCAAATTGCTTCATACCCTTTATTGTTTCATTGCATGTGAATAGGTAGAAACACAATGCATTTTGATTTTTTTTTTTTTGGGGGTGCAATGACAAGAGCACTCAAGGAATAATTCTCACAATAAATCTCTTGAATGAAATAGATGGGCCAAAAATACACATGTAACTAAATTTAACCATCAATGAAACGTATACTTTTGAGGGAAGGATTAACAGACCAAAAACTAATCTTCCTGAGTGAAGACTGATGTTGACCATCACCGTTCACGCTGGAGACATCGAGAATGGGTTTGCTTCATGGCATAAATTCCATGCTCATGATCAGCCATCAAATAAATCCAAGGGAAAAATTGACCTATCACCTGCCGTTTCGTATGATCTAACCCAAAACAAAAGCGTCTAGCTCAAGACACGTAGCAATGTGAGCTGGCTTTTTCAGAAGGTTCTGTGCCTGCCAAAGTGGCAGTTCAAAAATGGGCCAAAGCCACCTGGGTCCCAAGGATTAGTTTCTTTTCAGGGCAAGGCCGAGCTTTGTTATTATTTTTATTACTTTTGGTACAGCTTCAGACTTACAGCAAAAGAGCCCTAGTTATATGCCTTAGTTAGATTCCTGTGAGCCACGCGTCGGCGTAGCCGCATTGCCCTAACAACGTGACAATATGCAAAATGGGGCCCCAAGCTACGAATAGGAGCCGAACCTTAAATCCGCGTATACCAAATCACAAATGCTATTCGCCCTTTTTAATGCTTTGTACATCATCAATAAATACGAGGAAGCTACCAAGCCAGAAGCAAACCCAAATCCTTACAATGGCCAACTCCTTTCGTGGTGGAGGAAAGAAATGGGGGAACTCAAAACAGCGACCTGTTCTTGTAATGGTTGCCTAGCGCCAAGGCGACAAGCAAACAAAGGGGTCCATTACAATTTGTTCATAAACGAATAATATAGCTGTACTCCGGAACCCACAAGCTTAAAAACCCAAACCAGGCTCGATCATGATTTCTTTTTCTCAGCCATGCCTCCCCTCAAAATCATGGCTGCCGTGCTTTTAGGAAGAAAAAGTTGGCGCCGTTAACGTTCTACTCCGAAGTCTTTTTCGGAGGTATTGCGGGAGCCAGCTACACAAGGGTCACCAAACATCACAACATTACAAAAAGAGATTTTTTCCTTTCAATGATAATGAAACCATTTTTAATGTTCTCTCTTTTATTTCTAGTCTGACAAAACATTAATAGCTTAACACTGATTGACAACCCTATTGGGGGATTCGAATTTGTTAAGCGTGGCCGTCTGATGAATGTTTTACCTAATGGATGGTATACCTATCTCAATGATAGAATGAGGTTTGGTCACATTCTGTCTGGTGAGAATTCAATTGACAGATAAGAATAAGGATTAGCAAACAACCAGCCGACTGCAATTCATGCCGCAACATTAAGAGTATTTTGAAGTCCAAAACATAAAACATGTGGTCCTCTGCAAAGTCAAACTTCATAGAAAGCTAAGGGAATTCAAAAGCAATAGCAAAATCCAGCTAATTCATTTATTAGTATGAGCTTGTTTTCTCTTACTCATTTCTGTATCTGAATCCTCGCATACCTGCTTTGCTTGCTTTTGGTACCTTTCTCAATCTTATGAGCCCAGATTTGAGAGCTTTACCTTCTCAAGACTCCCACTTCGACAGGTTGATGTATGGAAATACTCACATCACGTTGCACTAGATTTTCTTCAAACGCTTAGGCAGTAAGAAGCTTGACAATGTTGGGTTGGGTTCCTTCATTCTTTACACTAATTTACTTCCATCAACTCGATTTCACTCCCCAGGCTGGAAAGTAAGGCTGCTTTTGCCATCATTTCACCAACCAGATAACTCTTGAGTTTCCAGTCAAGACTGTACAAAGTATTAAACGATGAATAAGACCACTTTAAAAGCTCTGCAAGCTGTCTCCATTCTCTTTGCACAAGATGCATGTGAGCAGATTGTGCTGTGTTTGATCTTAAGGTTCACAAAAGTGGCTTTCAGAGAGGGAAAAACAATGAGAGTTAGTCACATTAATCACATTTAATCTCTGACTTTTGTACTGCAGTATCCTCAGATAACCCTCCCAAAGATATTAATGCCCAAGAACAACATATTCTAGGCACAAGATGCAACCAATATTGACATTTATCTGCTATCACATGAATCCAGTTATATGTTTGTAACAAGTAATATCTTACAAAATTATTCCCAATCTTAAAAGAAAAAAAAAATCCAATTTTCTCCGCTACTGTCTTACATTAGATATTCAAGCAACTGCCAAAATTGTTTTCATAGGCCTTACTGACAAATTCAAAGCCAAATAGAACTGCATACAATGGGCAGACTCTCCTTATATATGGCGGTCACTAAGTATTAAGTTGAAACTTTTGAGCAACAGTACTTTACAAGTATTGTGTTCAATATTGTGTTTATGATAGTAGAATTTAAATAATCATGTTTGAGAATTGCTCGATGGATGTCAAATCTGTCAAGAGCTGTAACTTCTGATACTCACCAACCAAAAAAAACTCACCCTCTAGCAGGTAGCAACATTGACTATAGGTTGCAATATTAACCAGCAAAACTTCTATTTTTTTATTACATACAGCATATTATGACCACGCTAAAAAAATGTCAAAATGATTAACAGAGGATCAGGGCTAGGTCACCAATACCGAAATTCTACTTCTAATCTCAGATGCTGACAAGACCCCATAAACTTCACACCCCTTGTGTACCAGACACAAATTTACCATTAGTCTCAAACAATGCGAACTGAAATAAAAGTACAAATAAGAGCATTGATTATGCTAAGCACCATAAATTGCAGCTTCAAAAGAGACATGCACATAGCCACATCTAGAATGCACTATTGACAAAAGAAAAGATCTGCAATTTTTATGAAAATGCATCTTAAAAGGTTTATGTAAACTTATTAATTGTGACAACTCTTATCAGATATAACAACAATTCTTAGTAGAACTTACAAAGAATAAGCTGATAAGGTCATTACTTATCTTGAACAGACAACAATGAATCGTTACAGAACTTACAGACATACAGGCAAAAGAACAAAAAATCTATAGTTCAATATGAGAGAAATCCAACTGTGATCCAATTGCACCTATGAAGGAATTGGTGAGAAAGGTTTTATCTTCTCCAACAACTTCTCAGCTTCAATAAACCCACCAAGTGATCCCAAAGACAAATATTTTACATGTTTCCATCTGTTCAAATTCTTTAAGAATTAAAATATGTACTTCAAGCCTTTTCAACCTTGTTGGAAAATATCAAGGTAAAATAAAAAGAAAAATAAATAAGCAGAGGAATTCACTAACTGCCAAACAACTACCTAGGTACGAAGGGAAGAGCCAAACAGTGGAGGTGGAGATGGTCAACACTGTTCAATGGAGGCTGATGAAAACCAAATCTGCCAAAACCCAAAAGGAGCAAGAGGATCAGATGATAAACCTTCTTTCAAATAACAAAATTCTGAGAGAAAAAAAAATTTTCTCGAATAAAAAGTTGACTTCAGCTAACCCATGAGGCCATGACCCACTTCATTCTAGACTTATGCAACTTCCCAAAGCTACTTTACATTCATTCAATCCTTTATTATATATGATAGTGCTATGATTCACAAGCACATTTGAAATTGAAGAGAAGGGTATTATCTACCAAGTTTCAAATAAATTCTAATAAGCAAAGTAAGACTCATGTCCTTGATACTCTGCCCTCACCCATCCCAAAAGGTAAGATTTAGCTACTTCACCACCCAACTCATGCAGGAAAATATCATCGATTCCGAGGTACATTTTGGCAACAACGAAGTGAATGTAAAACTAATCAAACAACAATGAGCATCAGAACAGAAACCATACAATTTTCAATATCTTCATGGCTTTCAGGGGGGAAATTGAATTCTGATTCTTATAGCATTTTCACATGTTGTCAACCATAGCATGCTAGTTTAAAGAATGGTTTCAACAGGGAAAAGGCTAGTTTTTCCATATTTTACACCCTCATTCTGCACTATCCACTGCATATAGAGGTAATACCTATATAAAATTAATGCATAGAGTTAGGCAGGTGGAAAAGGACACAACTTGTGACACATAAAATATGACTGTTTATAAAGAGGTTTAAGTAACATATTATGCAGCAATAAACAGACAACAACCATAAAGTCCGGTACTGAAAGGCCATAAGGACTATTCAACATTGATCAACACTTATAATATAGTATCTGAAAGAAGATCTATTTAGCAAAGTTCTTTCCTTTGTTAGAAGCAATACCTGTATTGATTTGATTGAGGTACATCTCTGCGTAACAAAGTTTGCCCCACATTTAACATATGACTTACTGGAGAATAACAGCATTACAGCAATAACACAAACTTAGCTAAGGCAAAACTAAAAATGAAAGAAGAAAAGGAGAAGGGGGAATTTTACCCAAACCGTAGTCTTCATTTCTTCTTTGAAGATCTCTAACAGTGGGAATATGCTCCACAGGAATCACCAAGTAATGCCTATAAAACATTTCAATAAATTTCCGATTTACTATAGGATTTCGTTGCGCCCATGGCAATTTTATATTAAAAACGTTTCAAATTTCAATAAATTTAATAACTTTTTCAATATAAGAGAAATTTGGGAAACCTCAAAGCAGAAGGTTTGATGTCTTGAAATGCAACGACCTTATCATCCTGAGAACAAAAACAGATTTAATTAGAACGTAATATCCAGGAAATTCTGTTTGGTTGCTGGTTGAAGAGAAGACGATCGTGGAATTAACTTGGTAACCAAACAGAGGATATAAAGACGAAGAGAGAAGAACGCACAGAGTGAAGGAGAGGAGTGGAGGTGGAACCGCGAGCAATTTGACAGAAGATGCATGGTTGAGAAGGTGAGGTCGCTCCCGCCATTTTACCCCCAGTTTGAGAATTTCCCAATCCCTAATAACTAATCACGCTACACCCTTTGCGAAACGATCTCGTATTATCTAATCTTTGCGTTTTCGCAAAAAGGACCAATACGGAGCGTTTATCTCTTATTATTACATGATTTCCTCTTTCTTTCCTTTGCATTTTTGAGTCAACAATTTCCATTTTAGTCTTTTTCTTTTTAATTTTGAAAGATTTGTTAATTTTAGCCTTTAGTCAATAAATTAGTTTGCCATGGCCGGACAGAGAAAAACATACTAGCAGCAAAGCACCGCCATTCGCTAAATGCTCTTTCCACTTCATTCGCATGAACGCTCTCATCTACAGAACCCTAATTCCCTCCATCTCCCGTCGCCCATCAACTCGTTTGACTTTGATCCTCAACTCATTCCTTCACTTCAAAGCACCCTTACCTCGAGCCATGAGTTCCTACTCTCCCCAGCGAGTCTTCCAACTCAAACTCGACCCACTCACTGGAAACTCAGAGTGGGTCGTCATCCAAGACAGCGACGAACTCCCAGAATGTTCCAAGGAACCACTTTTAGCTTCGACGTCGTATCTCGACATGCTCAACGATTCTTACCGGAACAAAGCCTTCCGTTTAGCCATTGACAAAACTGTAACCAAACCTTGCCACGTGCTCGACATCGGGTAACTCTTCAAATTCAATAATAAACAGTATAACTTTTTAGGCTTCGCCTGTTACTTTAGCCACTTTCTTTTTTATATTTATTTTCATCTTTATATGGTTTAGTATTCGCAGAAGTTTAAATTTTAATCGTTAAAAGTTGTTCGTTGATTATTTGTATCTAAATCTAACGAGCAAAAGGAAGTAATTTTGAATAATTATATCTTGAATTGGCCATTGATAATATTGTGCAGTGCGGGAACTGGGCTGTTGTCAATGATGGCTGCACGAGCCATGGGATTAAACGGAAGGGCAACAGCATGTGAATCTTATCTTCCAATGGCGAAGTTGATGAGGAAAGTATTGCATCGAAATGGTATTGGAAAAAATATCAATCTTATTAATAAGCGTTCTGATGAACTCGAAGTTGGTGTTGATATTCCTTCTCGTGCTGATGTCCTCGTGAGTGTCAAATCATTAATCCTACATTTGCTTTGGCTCTTATAATCGTATTTTTAAAAATGTTCAAGTTTGCGTTTTGGCTGTTGACAAATGGAAAGTTGTGGTTTAATTGCTTATTTTCTAAGGTTAATGCTTGTTTTCTGATAATGTAAGTGCAGGTTAGTGAGATATTGGACTCAGAGTTATTGGGGGAAGGGCTGATTCCAACTCTGCAACATGCACATGACAAGCTCTTGGTGGAAAATCCACTAACAGTGCCCTACCGAGCTGTTACTTATGGCCAGGTCTTCATCTTTATTTTGAACCATTAGTCTATTAGTTAGGTTGAAGGGCTTCAGAATCTTGACTTTTTTTTTTTTTGAGCATTTTTGTATTTTCTTTCCTGATACTTCAGCTAGTTGAAAGTCCATACTTGTGGAAGCTTCATGATTTATTTGGTAGTGAAGCAAAAGCATCAGATGGTATTCATCTTGTTCCTACAGGCTTGGAGACTATTATACATTTCAAATCGCAGCAGCATCCAATGCATTGTGATGCTATAAGGAAAGAAATAAAACTGGTAATCTCATTACATTACACACTGTTTTACAGCCTTCCAAGAAAGTCCCAGCAGTTTAATTCCTACTTAATTTAGAATTCATTCAGCTCTCAGAACCGTTCAAAATATTTGAATTTGACTTTTGGCAACGGCCAGACAGCCATGGGAAGACTAAGGTGCGAATCAAGATGACAGATACTGGTAGCATTCATGCTGTAGTTTCATGGTAATTATTTTTATATATGCAAGATTTGTGCCAGAAGTTTCTTTTCTAGAGGTTTTCAATAAACTCTATGTGTTTGTTTGCAGGTGGATTCTTCAACTTGATCGTGAAGGAACAGTCTTTTATTCCACTGCTCCGAGCTGGATAAGTTCACCAGCTAAAATAGGTGAGTCAGGTCCACAATTGTTTGCGCATAGCTGTTTGATCACATTATGGTCTATCTACTCTTGACATTCTTTAAAGTCAAATAACTCAGCGGGAATTGGCATAATGCTTTTCTTATGGTTATATTCTAATGATGTGAGCCCTGTAGATGGGATCAGAGTTCTGCTCAAATCATTTTCCTGTTCTGATGATGTTCCACAATCCCTAACCAAATAGAAATTATTCTCTGAGTTTATGGAGTAATTCTTGTCTGATGCTTCATTAGGAAATCGGAATTGGTGTGACCACTGGAAACAGTGTGTCTGGTTCCTTCGAGGGAAAGGTATGCCTCTATCAGAGGGAGAAGAAGTTCTTTTGGAAGCTACTCATGAAGAGACTAGTGTCTCATATAATCTCAATGTCCAAGGCCCTCAAACTGACATAAGGGAGTATGACCAAAGAATTGGGGATTTTCAGCTGTTAGTGTCACCAGAAAGAATTGCAACTTGTGGAGACAGTGAATGGCGATTGTCCATGTTGGCAGCAGTAAGAAAAGCTGTAAGCTCTCTCCTCTCAATGTTTGTCTTTTTCTAACATCTTTATTTACAGCTGCATTCTAACGGTTATGGATGATTTGAAAATTTCTTGAGTAACAGTCAATATTAATTTTCTTTTCCACCAATTTTCTTCTTCTTTTTGCCCTATCTGTACCTTTTGTTTTTGCATGGTTTTAATTGTAAACTCTATTGTTGCAGTTGCAGGGAAGAGTTAACCCATTATGTGTTGTTTCGGATGATAGCATTTTTTTAACACTTCTTGCTGCAAATCTTTCAAAAACATCACATGTAATATCATTGTTTCCTGGGTTGAGAGACAAGGGTGCCAAATATGTGGAAACTGTTGCTAAGGCAAATGGTTTTTCTATGGATCGTGTAGAAGTTCCTGAACAGTGGAAAGCAAGTTTGCCCATGCTTGATACCCATGGGAAGAAGGTAACTTTTGTCCTGCTTCTGCTTTGGCTTGCTTGGCAGCATCACATTCTTCTTGAATATAACTCTGCTTCTATCAAAGAGAAGTAAAAATAAAAAAGCATATCACTCTGCTTTATATGTGTTCTTTGGACCCCCTTTTTTTTCCTTTAATTTCACTTGTCTCGTTAGAAAATAAGAGAATGAGTCAAAGAGCTGGTTCTTAAGATGCAAACTTTCTAATGCGTCAAATCCTATTGTCATATGCAGTTTTCTATTATTTAGCAGTTGTCAATGATCTTTGTTTGAGCATCATCAAATCAATCCTATTCTGCTTGAATATGTTCTGATGATGAGATTTAATGTTCCAATACTCAATTATATAAACAATTCAAACAAATTGAGATCATGTCTTCTTTCACAGGTGGACCTGTTAATTGGAGAACCGTACTATTATGCAAATGAAGGAATGCTTCCATGGCAGAATCTGCGATTTTGGTATGTTCTCCTCCCTTCTTATCATAGATTCCGTAAGTCAGCTTGTTTAAAGATCAATATTTATGTTTTTATTAGCCATTCGCTCTCCATTTATCTGCTTCCTCCCTTTTGGTCTGGATTTAGGAGGGACCGTACGTTGCTTGATCCTGTCCTTTCAGAGGATGCATTGATAATGCCTTGTAAAGGAATACTGAAGGCTTGTGCTATGTCTCTCCCGGTAAGTTGGTATTTTCACTTTATCAAATGCTTCCCTAAGACTCCTTCATTGATAAAAGGAAAAATGAATAAAGAAATAAAGAAACATTAGAAGGAATTTACCCTCTTTTATGTGATTTATACAAGTATGACATGGCTATGACATGGCTACAAATTCAGTCCCGTTAACCTCTTGTACAGGATCTTTGGAATAGTCGCTGTTGCTTAGGTGAAGTTGAAGGCTTTGACCATTCTGTAGTAAATACTACATTAGGGGCATGTGGTGAATTACCAGCACCGAAAGAGAGTCCCTGTCTTCCTTTCTCTGTCTGGCAGTGTGGTGAGATTAAGGTAATTGATGTATATACAATTGATTTAAGAATGAAAATTATGGTGTTGTTGCTAATACAACTGCATTAAATGTGTTCAGGAGCTAAGTGAGATATTTACCATCTTAGAGTTTGATTTCTTAAAACCAATAACTTCATGTTATGGAAAAGCACAGGTACAACTTCCCCCCCTCCCCAAAATGAAAAAAGAAGCCTATACTAGTTCAAAAACTATTAATGATTTTCTTGTATCCTTGCAACTAATTCTTCGTCTTTCTTCAAGGCTCAATTCACTGAACATGGTTTATGTCATGGATTTGTTCTGTGGATGGATTGGGTGATGGATGCTGAGAATTCTATTGTAGTATCAAGCAGGCCGGGTATAGTTGTAATTCTTTATTGGCCCTATTTGAAAAGTGTAATGTATTTTGCATGGTATTTACATTTGTGTCTAAAATTTTACCATAAACGATCATTAGAGAACTCTTGTCATCTCACCATATTGATCAAGGGTTTTGTTGCATGTTGGTTCAGACCACAGATATTGGAAGCAAGGGGTTAAGCTTCTGACCAAACCCGTCGCAGTTGGAATCCATGGATCGAAAACCACGAATGAATTTGGTTCTACTATAATCGAAGCATTCTTCGATCTGTCAAGTAGTGAACTCATCATTAAACACACCTTTTCATGACTCCTAGCTGCATCATTAGGCTCATGACTAGAGCTGTACTAGTCTTTCTAACTAATAGCCATGAGTTACCCTCAAGAGAGTTATTTGATTAAAACCATTTTTATAGTCTCTATTGGAATTCCGGTTCCCATGGCTTCAGATTGAGTAACTGTATGCACTTTTCCCTGCTTGTTTGAGTTTCTGTTGGGTGTTGTCGATGTGCGTGTATAAATTGAACAGAGTTAGAGAAACTTAGCCAAAGATAATTAACAGATAATCTCCTATTTTCTCTTTTCTTTTTATTCTAAAAATACCTATATTTCATACGACTAAGAAATCCTTGTAGCTCTAAAGACCCAACAAGAAAATGCTTCCAAGCCCATGAATGAAAATAGATCATAGCTCAATCAAAGGCTTATATAGGTAACAATTTTGATCTTCAAAAGACTGAGGTGTTTGAATCCAAGG